TAAATATATATGTGAATCATAAACGGGACGCTCTTTGATCCATAAACACAGCACAACTGTGTCATAGAAGTATTTTCGTTTCTCCGTGAGATATATCATGCATTGTGTTACATCAATAGATAGGTTGAGGGTTTATCAGTCACTACTGTTGCACTGCTGATACAATAAGACACATGTATTTAACTACGTTGCTTTTTGCCTTCCTTTCTTGCATCACCAGCATGCTTTCCAAACCGTATTTGTTCATGCCCTGGGTTTGATTTGGCGCTGCAGGTTTGCAGTTTCTTGAGCTTTCTCCTTTGGATGTATTCTCCAATCATTCCTATTTTTATTTTCCTAGTTATTTTATCAAATAAAATTTTGTGTACAAATGTGTCTTTGCTTCCATTATTATGAAATTACGACTAAAATTTTGTAATGTCAAATAATGCGGCACAGAAAAAAAAACACTACGATGTATTTGATAAAAATGTGCATTCTTGGCCCAGAGAAATCTGTAAATGGTGCTATTGTTTCTTTTTACTGTCTTGAACCTATTGATGATGTGGACAATCTTGTATGGTTGTACTGTATTTCTTTAATAATTAACAACAAAGGTAAATGACGTAACGAGAAAGCCGTGGCCTATAGCGTGCCGTGTGTGGTTGCGTGTGACGACAAGGTTTCATTGCATGCTTCTAAGAATTTGTTAACATTCTTTGATTGCTGATGATTCTGTACAGTTGTTGTTTTTATCTGGTGGATATTTTTGCGATAATATTGTACACATGGTTTTTATTTTATTTTATTCTATTTTTTTAGTACATGTTTGTTGTTGTAATTAATTTCTGTTTTAATTTTTAGTTTTAAGTATCATTTGTAGCATTTGAACATTTTAGTTAGACAGACACAGACCCTTTTCCACTTTTCGTTTCGTGGTGATTGTTCTCTCCCCCCCCAACCACCCGCACGCAAGGTCAAGCTGACTTTAAGTGACCCGACGACGTGTATCTTCTGGAATTAGATTACGGGTGACCCGGCTGGATTGATCGGCGAGGACAAACTACTAGACCTACGCACGGCCTGTGGACCAGATCCGGACAGCGAGCAGTTTCAGTCTGGTCCACGAGTCGACCCAGTAAGGAATACTGATTGTGGTCCGTGGTTAGTAGATAATAC